TTTACTGTGGTATGGATATTGGAGAAAATCTTCAACCAGTTACGTGTATGCAGTTTTTCTGAAGTATCATTCATCTAGGCCATATGGTACATGTACATGTATGTGTAAATAGCTGCTTGCTTACATTAAGTTTTGGATTAAATTGCACAGAACACCCTGTTTTGTCAACACCTTGCAAGAGCAACACTTGAAAACCAGGCTAATGACATGACCTACCAGAACTAGCATAACACAGGGCAACATTGCAACTTGCCTTGAACAAAACACTTCAGTGGTAAATGGCCCATTGGAGACTGAAGCTGAAGAATTATGGATTGCTGCTAGGCTGTCATGTAATCAGGTCTCAAGTGCTAATCCTAAGTGCCAATTCAGTCCCTAATCTCTAGATTCCCACCAGGGCAGTTTGTTAATCTCCCATTCTCTCTGGTCACTTGCCTGTGGCTATTTACTCAAGGTGCCCCTACTTCCATCACTGCTCACTGTTACATGCAAATCGTGTGGTACTGGTATGTGTGGATTAAAACTTAATCCTCACTACTGGTAACAGTTACATCATGGAGGGCTGGGGCACTGTGTATATATTGGATTTAAGGTGTTAATTCATGATGGTTGCAGGATTGTGCCCGCCTGTTGTTATTGAGATTCAGAAACCTCACATGGTGACTACATGTAGCAAATGTATCAATGCATAGCGGTGCATGTACTGTAGTGTGTTTGTAAAGCTCTACTGTCCACTGACTAAATGCTACCGGTATGGTTTAGCAGTGTAAAGCTTGCTGTTTCTTTTGCATCAGTTTTTGAATTTGGGAATGAATTTATGGTACATGTAAACCAAAGAGCTTATACCGAGACCTGTAGTTCAGCAAACTAAAAATAGAAAGGCACTCCAGTTTTTATCCTGAAATATTCACATCCATAAAGTTATTGAAATTACATGTAGTTTAAACAATGAGTTTACTACAGTGTAGGTGAACTTCATGTACAGATTTGATCGATCAAGTTTCCTATGATGCAAGATATGGGGCGGAGAGACCCTCCCCCCCACCTTTGTGTTGGTCATTGTTTGATCGGAATCTCAGGAATTCTTTACAGACTTCTAGGGGGGATGTGTTAGGTAAAATAGTCTAGAGTGTGTATAAGGATTGGACATGTGGGGGGGTACCCATTGGCCCCATATCGTGCACGGTACCGATATCTCATGTTTGCATGTTGGAAGGGACAATAACATCGCTTTTGACGTGTTGAAGTTTTTTTTACGTACTGTGTAGTTATCCATTCTGCATCTACTTGTACTGTACTGATATGTGAACATGTACCGGTAGCTTCCATTCATTTCTCCAATTTGAACTTTTTCATTCACTGTACATTTCTATCAGGTGTGCATGGTTTCACACACCTTATTTCCTGTTCATTCGACTGAGCACATGTCACCAACTGAATTTCCATTCACAGTCAATTTTCTCCAACTGAATACACATTTCCCGCTCATTTCCTCCAGGCCAGTGCAATGGCAAAGGCAATCTGACAACCACTCAAATAACCCCTTACTTCTAACAAACCCCCTAAAGTGGCCATATACATCATACAAAAGCCCAACCAATCAATATCAACAATAGACTATCTGGCAGAGACCTGTAGACTTCAGCTGATGGCTACAGGCGAGGTATCCAAATCTACAGCGTAATCAGGTTATAAGCCCTGCTCCCGGACTCAGGACTCAGTGTCGTTGCTTGGACACCAACTGTAGTAGGGAAGCACATGTGTAGGCGGGTTCCATGTTGTTCCTGGTTTGGCCTGTTATTTAGCCCCAAACTCTCATACAAATAATGTACATCTGTACATGTACATGAAGTGCATCTGGTGAAGTTTGTAAAAGTCCTAGTGAAGTCAGGCTGAGATGTCACACCAAGCTGTTTAACACAGATTATTTGGTAAGGTTGTATCTGAATCTGTTGACAACTGCCAGTATGTACATGTGTACGGTACATGCACCAGTACGCTGCACATACATGTACATGTACGTCGTGTAGGTTTGCACCTACATGTACATGTATAGACCACTCTCATTTTGCCTACAACTTGTATGGGCAGCCAACGTTCATGCAGAAATATGGAAATTTTGGTTGGTTTTCGTTTTTACCTCCAATTCGTTCAAAAAGAACATTCGTCTCATTGATTTTAAATAGGGTTGTACTTTCATTTGGTATAAATTTAATAGCACATGTACGTGTATTATTAGCTGGTTTTCTGATATCTGCATGGGATTTTTAACAGTTTGAGAATTATGCTTTTACTTCTGTACCACCCGCCAACCATAGTTTTAGCAGCCACTTGGAATGGAGGAAAAAACACGACTGTGATGTAAAAAAAAGCAGACCCTGTTGAAACTATCCGCGGACACACCGGTACATGTACTACTAGTAACAACAGATGCAGTGGTACATATGGAAGCCTATTTCGGACATGGCCTAAGCACTGAAAATCTCTGCTAAGCAGAAACAGTTTGCTGGCAAAAAAAAGATGTTATTCAGTGTGCATCTCTTATCACTGGTTTCCCGCAGTATTTTGCTTGGCACAACCATTTGTGTCGCAGCATGTTGTAGCAATTTGTTATACCGGTTCAGTGGACTGTAGGAACATCGTTTTGTTGGAGCTACATGTACATGTACTAGTACCAACAAATTGATGTTTTTTTAATTGATAAAGTTCAAGAAACGTTTCTTAAATGTTGGCAGACAATTTCAGGTATATTACCATACACACTGTACAGGTACATGTGGCAAACAAAAATGGATAGATTAAAAATTTGGAAGAAATATTGTTTGTGGAACATCTTGTTTATTTACAAGAAAAATCAAGTTCACAAAGGTCTCTGTAAATGTGTGCAGACATGCACTGCACATACTGTAGGTGAACTTTTAAATGTACACTATTTAATTTGAATGATGTTGTTTTTCCCTGAATACTACTAATACCGGTAGTTGAATATTTTCTGCTTTCTCAACAGATAACTCTGGTTACTGAGTGAGTTATGGACACCAAGTATTGGTAACGGTGCCAATATGCCACAGGTTGCAGCTTAATCTTCAGATAGCCACCATGTTGGACAGCGCCCTTGCTTGTCAGACAAGTTGCCAGCTGCATCATGTAGCAGCTTACAAGCCAAGGTGACACCATCACAGTCACAACTGTGGCTGTGAGACTTTAGACTGGATAGGAGCCTAATGGATGGGTCATTGACCTCAGGTTTGGGGGAGGAGGATAGAGAACATCCTCCATCATCCCTCTATTCAGCCTCCAAAGATCATCCTCATTTTCATGCCGCAGAACGACATTTTCAGGTTTCACCTAATGCCCAGGATAACCCAGTAGCACAAAGTCCCGTAGAAAGTTCAACCCAGATTCACCCATCTAGGAAATCACCCCTTGGAGAAAAGCCATTGCTAGTTCAGCCTGATGCCCAGGCACACCCAGTAGCACATTGCACTGTAAGCAGCCCTACCCAGGCACCTCCAGTAAGAGAATCTCCCATAGAACATCATCGTGCAGTACACATTGGTGAAGATGGTCCTAAGGATCATCTCAGAAATGGAGTCAGACAGTCATTACCACATTCTAGGATGCATCCATCAAAGTCAGCTTCTGAGAACAGGAAATCCAAGCAGGCAGTTCCAGAAGTGTTGCCCACCTCAACAACATCATCATCTAAGAAATCATCTAAGAAGTCATCCAAACATTCATTAACTCACAAAATATCACCTAGGCTAGATGGCGACTCCCAATGGACAAACCTGTCTAAAGAGTCATCTGTGCCTAATTGGTCAGCCATCCCCAATGAGGTGTTTAATCAACAAGAGCCTGTCACTTACAAAGAGGCAGCTACATGTACATACACGGCCACATCCATTTCCACTGAGTCGCCCATTCCGAAAGACTCGCCCATACGCAGGCCAACGGCCGAGCCATCCGTCTCAATGCCCAAAGTGTCACCAACTCACAAAGCCTCTCCCACACACAGGGCTGGGTCCCAGGGTGCCACGCCCACCAAGGAGAGGCACGCTCGCAGGACCATCAATGCCAACAGCACAAGAACAGTTGACATGGAAAATGAAGTGACGGGGAGGACATTGGAGGAGGGAAAAGAGAGGATGATGAAGATGATGGAGAATGGGGCAAGGATGCGGGCCATCATGGAACAGGAGATACAGCGGTTATCCTTACAGAAGAGAGAGGTGGTCATGAAGGATAGAGTTGTGGGTAGGTACCGGACATGTAATTCTAGACTTTGTTAACCCTAATTTAAGGAAAACTACTACATGTACGTGTACAGCGTGTAAACTAAACCAAAAGTGGTTGGTCTGCCTATGTTATCCTAAATCCTGAGAGTTACCCAAAGCTGATTTGAAGGAACAGAAAAAGGTTTGCTTTGTATTTTTGTAATTGAAAAATCCTTGACAAACTGATGTGGCATGGATTGAAGCCATGCTTTTGTGCTTGATAATACAGTAGTCTGGACTACTCATACCCTCGCTTAACCAGTGTCAGCTTGGCATTGAAATGAATCAGTAGCCTAGACGGTGGATCCCAGTGTTGTGGTCAAGACCATCACAAGACCAGTCGCAAGTAAGAGGGCAAACAATGGCAAAGTAATGCTTTTGTTTGGGTTCTAACTTCATTTGAATACCGGTAGCTTGTAACTTGAATTTAGGCTGGAGGTTTGTGTTGGTCTTGTGAGTGTCTTGTGGGATCTTGTGATAGTCTCGACCACAACACTGGTGGATCCCACAGGTGTATTCGATGAAATACCATTACGTGTACCTTTCATTTGCAACTCGGGGACAAAAATTTGATCAAATGCATTTATAATTTACAAAAACAGTCATGCTGAGACTGTCTTTGCAAATTGAGTGCTAGCAAGTACTGTATGAATGTTTAGAATCTACTGGTACCAGTACTGAGCTCTGCTGTGAATGTTGTGAGTTGCCTTTACTCTGGCTGTAAAATGTGGTCACTTGCAGCCAGTTACATGTACCGGTACATACACTCACTGTACCTTTACAATTTTGTAATTTCTTATTGGTCAAGCGAGTCTGTTGATTGACAGTCCAAGCACAGCTGTTATTGGTTTCTCCAACACTCTTCTATGATATTGTCTTGGATTGCATTCTCACTGTTCAATGTAAAATCTACAGTAATTAATTTCACCCTCAACTGTTTACTTTTGCCGTGACCATTTTTATTAGACATCCCATTAGCACCTCTTCAAAAAACAACCAAAGCATTCCATTCCAGACATCTAATTTACCAACTGTCACAATTCTGCAAATAACCCACCTCGGTCTGTGAGATCTTTGGCAAACATTATCAATTCCTGCACAGTTTGGATCAAAGTCACCAAGCATTGATTTGAAGGACGGAGTTCCCCAAACGCATACAACGACATGCTGCCTGAAAGGCTTTAATCAACACCTGTATGTTGATCTTTGACAAAAGGGGTCCTTCAGATTTCGAGCCCCGGTAGACCAGGACACACATTCATGTGTTTTCAGTTTCCCGACTGGTAAACACAGACACTTAAATCCACAAAGGAGTCAGTCCTCTAATTCACCCTACTTCTGTCCAGCAAGTATCAATTTTTGTTTACTCCTACCCAACCGTCAAACAAGAATAAAGAGAACAAAATGTTGCTTGGGTACCCCCCCTACTTGCGTTAGTATCAGATGACACTTTCTGAGTTTTCAGATTGTCAGGAATACATACCGGTAGGCCTAGGCTACAAGTACCAGTAGATATACGGTACATGTACAGTGCTACCGTACATACATGTACATGTGTACAGTTACATGTACATGCACCGGTGCATAAGATCACATCGTTCAGCTGTGGAAGCTCATTTGTACCAGTGCTTTGATGCTGCTGAGTGTAGTTTCAACTGAATCTATTCTACCCTGACGCACAACTTGTTCTCATATGGATCTTTAAAAACCCAACGTGTGAATCAACTTGGATTACAGCAGAACCTTGCAGAGCATCTCATTGTGGTGTTAGCACTTGGAACTGCAGCAGTCTCAACAGAAGTGATGTGCTTACTGTACATGTTTATAGAGGAGTCTTGTTGAATCTATTTCTTCTCCAGTGGTCACTTGCTGTGTACATGTACATGTATACAGTAGTTGTTTTGCAGTACACAGTATCTGCAGGTAGCGGTATGCATCGTGCTGCATCTTGGATTTTATTATTGTTTTGCTATGCAGTTGTACCGGTAACTTCATTGCTGCCAATGTACACGTACATGTAGAATTCTATTTGTGTACATGTATTTACAGGGTACCGGTAGATGGGTTGTATACATGTACTGTACATGTTGCTACAGGTGAATGTACAGTGCACACAAATCTCAGAGTAGTGAAACATTCCTACATGTGTGATTATCTATGCAATATAGTTGAACCTTCCTGCACCAACTGAAGACGGACAGGTCTGCACTTACCTTTTGTATTTCAGTGTAACCTCAGCTTCGTCAGGCTGAGAGAATGAACAATACTGCCCTCTTGTGGACAGGCTTTCCCTCTGTCTTAAAGTAGTCTGTTTAATAAGTGACAGCTGTGAACTTTTGTTAACAGTCCAAAGGTTGCTGGAAAGGGATATATATGTGTAGTTTATTGGGACAAGCAAGGACGAGTGGATGGAAACAAAGCAGTTGTCAGGCAATCAAAAAATGCAAGAGAGTTACTGGTAGTTGGGGCTGGTCACAGTGAGCAGAAAAGATTTTCTGATAAGAGGGTTGTTTGGGGGAAATAAGCACCTAACAGAAATCTTGTGATAACACTTTGCAGACTGTAGATGGTTTCACACATTTACCGTAGGTTTAACGGTGATGGAAGTCATGGAAATTTATGGGTGCTGTGTCCACCTTACATGTATACATGTATGTTTTTAGGGTCACGTTGGGAGAGCTTGACACAACTGGCAGAAATTGAATTCTCTGTCGTGGCAGACTGGTGTTGGTTGTATCACACATGATAGCAACAGCGCATTGTTTTTTGCACTGGAGGACGCAGCAACACAGGCATTGTTAGTGTTACCACATTGATTTCCAGTCTTCAGTAACGTCAGAGGAATTTGTGAACGTTGGACAGGACAAGAACATCAGAACAAAAGATACATTAACATATAAGTGGACAGTTTTTGGAAGGCATGGATACCACAAGCACTGTGCAGTTTCCTCGGTCGGTTCAGGGACATTGCCATGACCAGGGAGAATCCTGGAATAAATTCATCGGACTGGTGCATCACTTCTCAAGTAAATTTGCTGCATGCTTTATTTAAAGTACATGTACATCTTAAACTGTTTGTCTGTAATTTTCCTTTTTTTAAAGGTTTGTGGAAGCACTGTAGTGATCATTCATTGCTAATGTTTCTTTGCCCTGCCTACGCCTAATTGTCCCTTATTTTAGACTTTTTTGTGATTTTCAGATCCTTTCTAATCTTTGCTTTCTCACCCCTTGTGATAATCCCATGAATTTCTTGAGACACAACACCAGTGTTCACTAAGTGTCACTCACACACATGTATTTGTACAGCTACAGCAAACATTTCATTATTTTTTTCAAAAGGCCTGGCAGTGAGGCCTGGGTTTTCTTCTTTGTTTTATTTCTCAACCTTTTTGGGGGGTAATTTCCAAGGCCATGAGTGTAAAAAAAAATTCTGACATGCATCAGAAAGGATTTCACTTTAACCATCCATGTAATTCACTTCCAGATGTGAATTCAAAAACTATTTGAATGTTTGATTCCAGACTGTACAAGAAATTACAAGCTCTAACAATTGTGTTCTTCCATCAGAGCCGGAATCCTGGAAGCGTGACGTCCAGAAGCAGATTGAGGAGGAGCTTGAACGGCGAGTCCGTGAGGCTTTGGAGACACCGCCATTGGAGCGCATGAGACGTAATCGTCACAAAGCCAAACTCAAACAAATCCAGAGAGAACAAACGTGAGTCCCCCACCACAGTACATGCAGGATCTATATATCCTGATTTACGTATCCATTTGAGTCATTCCAGTACATCTACATGTACGTTTATGAATCCACACAGGTGCTTGAGCAAAGGCAGGTTTTCACATACATGTAGCCTTTACACAAATTTACGCAGATTAATTTTGGAATGCCAGCTTGAGCCTTTAGAAAATATGTACGTGTAAAAGATTTTTTTTTATGAAAAGGTGCATGTAGCGTAAACATTGTAGTAAAAAATGCTGAGATAAGAGTGTGAAAGACTAAAGAATTCCGTAGAAATGATCCTTTAAAATATTTACTGTGTTCATCAGAAATTTAATTTAATTTATGGCACCTCAAACAGATCTATAAGTATTGAAGAATGTGACAACTATGCTCAGACCTTGCCCAACCTACGCAACCTCCATCATCACCGACTCTGGGATTTGCCGGAAACCCCCTACAGCTTCAGTGACTCCCAGAACCGACAAAACCGGTTCTCGCGACTCACTGGCACCCTGCAACCTGGTAACTACCACGACAGTGACACTGAGGATGACAGTGGGGATTCGACGACGGCGGCCAACCGAAATCAGAACAGTACTAGTAGCAGCTGGAGATTACACCCACTGCATCATCACAATGACAACCGCACTGGGGAGAATGGCATATTGGCCACAACTGCTCGGGAGCATGATTCCCTCTCCGAGGAGTCAGACATGGACTCAGAGCAGGCCCGGACCGTGGTGGAGGTCCGGCGGAAGATGTTCCGGCAGTACACGGCCGAGGGATTCAAGTCAGCCCTCCGGAAAGGCAAGAGCCACCTGAAGAAGCTGGGTAGCGGGAAATACGAAGATAAGAACGGCGTAGTGTTGACAATAGACGGGCCATTTTGGCCACCAGAGTGCGGGCCACTCTATCCCAAACCCGAACACCAAAACTTCATTCCTCAAGAGAAGGAACTGCTCGCTGATGCAGGTAAGGTGGTTGCTTTGGTAACTATTCACTGGTGAGCATGGCCACCAGTAGTGCGTTAGTAGCCTGAAATGACCAGCAAAGTGTAAGCTAGTGCGGTGTCCAGTTGAACACCAAAATAGGATTTGCTGTTGTTGCTGCTTATACTGGCAAGTGGGTATTTGACAAAGTTTAGCCTGTAAAGGTCTGGCCACGTTACATTTAAGTTTGTGAAATTGTTTGTATCTTTTTGAACACCAAGACAGTGATTCCAATCATGCAGAAAAACCTGTACAATGAGTGCCGTATCACTGGTAATTCTCTCAATCCTTGCTCGGTTAGTATTTTAATTTTTCCATTAGAAAAGGGAAAGACACAGACAATGGAAAGCTCTGTCATAGTAAACTTATTTCCGATACATATACATGTACATTTACAAAGGCATTGGACCTAGACCATGTCAATATCATTCATTTTGCTCTCACCTGTAAAACAAACAGTTGTGAATGAAAGATACATGTAACGGTATCAGGTTCCCTTTAGGATAATAGGGAAAAACAGATGACTGAAACTGAGAAATTGAACAGTCCGCGACATTGATCATTCCAGAAGCTTATTTGATATTGCCCTCCGGTGTTGCACTGGAGGACATTTCTCTAATTTATTAAATGCATGAGAGCACTCCAATGAAATGGGTTGGACCCTAGAACTCTAGAGCTGAGGAATTAATATCTCAGGAGCTCTGTCATCTCCAGCTTAATGGCCTCATGTACAGTAGTTCGTTTAGAATCGGGTTAGTTGCGATATTTATTGTGTATGAAAGGGGGAAGCTTATCTTCACCCAAGTAATTGAAGTTAACCTTTACAATTAGAGGTTGGTGTTTAGAGTGCATTATGATGCCTACGTGTATTTGGAAAGGTCTGAAACCCACCGGTAATGCACGATACATGTACATCGATGCACTTTTAGGCTACTTTAATTTGTCACCAATCCCTACAAGAGATTTCTAACTTCCGGTAAGTATTTTTAACCCTCTGAGATCTTTTCATGTCTGCTTAGAGATATTGAAAGATTTTGCAGCATTTTTCAGCACGGTCTATAAGATACAATATGACTCCTCACTGCAAAATGCCCCAGAACTCTAGAATTCATATTGTGGTATAAACCAAGATTAAGGCCCTACAGCTCGTAAATGGGTCAGTGTACTTTTAATACCGGTCAACTAATGTACAGAGTGAGTTCAAAGTCTGAACCCATCAACACATGACTTTGCTGTTATCATTGCGACATGTACTTTGATCCAATCAGCTGCTGTACATGTTCAATTATGAAGTACCAAAATTGTTAATACGGTACCTCATGTCCAAGGTAACAAAATTTGGCCACACTGAAAAGTTCTCAGAGTATTAATATACAGGTACAGTACCTTAGCACAGTTCCTTCCCTGTTGGAAAACGTAGTTTCTTGTCCTTATTTAATTTTGATTGCATAAGTTTGTTTGGTTTTGATCCCAAGAAGCAGTTCTAACCGTTGGATGGATTTCAGCATATTACAAATTAATTAGGCCTAAGTTCATGGGTCTGCACACTGTTGCTTGTCAGTTAGAATCTTCCATCCACTTACGTTTATAAAGCCTGGTTTCCATATTGACTTGAGAAATGCAGAGAGCAGTCAAGATGCAAACTGCAACACAGACGTACATGTATGGAAACACGTCAAACAGAAGTGTCATGCACCAATAACCCAGACACGTATGCGCAAACCAGCTTCAGATGGATCGGCAAAGTTGAGCCTGGTTCAACTTTGCTGACTGTCTGCGTTGAGTTGCTGAGCAGCCTATACAAACATGCACGCTGGCATGGCAGTGTTGTTTTGTCCACTTGCATAGGCCTTATGCAGCCCAAATCGTCAAAAAAAAACAAAAAAAAAAACACAAACAAAAAATATGTACATCAAAGTGGGGTATCAGTTTGGCTTCAAGAGGTGTTACTGCCACCTAAGAAGGGCATTTTATGCAAATATTTTCCGAGTTGTGGACACCATTTTGTTAGATTTTTTGGTGGAATGACGTAAGGCAGCATCTCTTCCACGACTGTCTGCATCTTGAGGTCTTGCGTACCATCGGCGTTTGTTACAACCTTAGGGAAACTACAAGTACAAATTTGGGCTGAAGGTGGTTTTATACAACTTTATTAGGCACATTGTGTGTGCCCATGGATTGTGTGCTGTGTTTGTAGAGTTCGTACCCCAGTACCGTACTGTGAGGCTGCCCAGAAAGGTGGATATACACAATTTACATGTATACCAGTATGCTAGGATAAACAGAACCATGAATTTGAGGCACTGCTGTTGCATGCATTTACACATTTACGAGCCAAAAACTTCAGTAGGCTTTTTCCTCTGCATGTTTGTAAATACAGAGACATCCCACCTGCAGACCTCAGATGTTGACTTTTCTTGACATCAGGACAATGCATCATGCATACCCTTCAAATTCTGTTTGCCCTCCTTCGAAAAACCTGACCATTTATTCCTTCCGTCAAATCTAGGGAGATCATCAATCATTTGCATTGTGACCCCCAGGGGGAAAATTCTGTAGTTGATATTGGGGCAATAATCACAATGTATTCATAGACAAGAGGTAATTTTGCTCAAAGGGGAAACAGATTTATCGAACTTTATGAATTATGATATAAATATGTACCTAGCAACGTTACCATTCAGCTTACCTATTTACCGGTAAATTAAATTTGCAAAAGTACAGTGTACATGTAGTAACTGCTTAAACCAGAATACCTTCAGTTTCAAGTCCCAAATGAATCACAAACTTGACAAAGTTTATTGTAATCTTCATATTTCTTGAGAGAAGGGGGTTGATTTTTTTGTTCCTGATCAAATCTGTTTTTTACTTTAAAAGTTGTAAAAGCAGTCCATAGTGCGCTGTCTCAAGGCATGCTACATGTACATGTAATCAACGACCAGTGTTGGTTCAACCTGGCCTCAATGTTAACATAGTATTTGCGGAAAATTAAATATTAAAAAAAAATTGTTCATTAACAGCTGCAGGACTTTATACAAAGAAGAAGGCGCTGTCACTTTAAGTTAAACATGTTTTTTTTTAATTAATGCTCGCTGACATTAGTGACCAGTACAATTCTTGTAAAAACAGGATGTTACATGTAACATATCTTTGTAGCAGGTTCATTTCTGTTTTTTAATTTCCTTAGTCCCTGATAATAGCCGCACAGTCCACAGTCAACGCACCAAGTGGTTCCGTCCTTTTGAAGCTACGTCCATTAACATCTTTGACTCTGAGCGTACCTCCAAGGGCACAATACCTCACTCTGTACCCGAAGGATGTCCCCCTAGTCTGGTGTTTGAGTCCCGGTTTGAGTCAGGCAATCTCCGCCAGGCCCGAAGAGTGTGAGTCCGCTCATCTTGTAAACTTGTTTCTGGTTTTATCGTCATCATTCTTTTAGTTTTTAATGTCTTCATTGATCTCAGTCCAGCCATGAAATTCACTGAAACTCTTATTTGTTTCTAAAGTATCTGCCAAATCCTGCAAAATCCTTTGGCTTCATTTCGAAGCATTCACTTCTATCCACCACTGACTTTGCTTAGAGCATAACAGCCCAAGTTTGATCAAGTTTGTATGCATGTTTATCCTGTAGAATGGGTCTTTAGTTCGCGGCATTGGTTGATGTTACAAGACTCAAGACAGCACCTATCAGAAAATTCCAGGAGATAACACTTGTGTACAAAAATGTGAGGACTATCCAATACAACTGATGGGAGGGAACATACAGTCTGTTCAATCTTTTAGTTTTTTGTTTTTTGTTTGTTTACTGTTCCCCACAGTGGCCAGTTTGAGTATGATCTGATCCTTAAGACAGACCTCTACACTGCCAGGCACACCCAGTGGTTCTACTTCAGGGTGCAAAAGATGATCCCTGGCATTACCTTCAAGTTCAATATCGTCAACCTTCTAAAGAAAGACAGTCTTTACAACCACGGTATGACTGGTATATTAGAAACAACTCCTTGCTACTGAAAGTTCATTGAGCAAGAAAATGTCATTTTATTAACATGTTGACTGCAGGTACATGTACATGACAGTGAGTTGCCCATGTGAAAATTGTCAGTATCCACTTAAGCAGAAAACATAAGCAGAGAAAAGCTTCAGATCAGCCAAGATCTGTAGCAATTTTAGGCTATGTCTGAATATTACAGCTGTGGCTGAGTAGAAACATGTTTGCCTACATGCATTTACATGTACGTTACTGGCTGACGGCTGCTACCAATTCCCATTGACGAGTACTTTAATGTCAGGCAATCCAACTTTGTACATTGATCAGGATGCCAGACAGGTTTTTCTGATGATGGCACATGCACCTGACCCCAAATCACCTATGTTGTACTTTCATTCAACTGCTTGTACATGTAGGCATGAGACCATTGATGTATTCGGAGCGTGAGGCAGCAAAGAGCAATCTTGGCTGGCATAGGATTGGTCATCATATCAACTACAGTAGAAGCAACGGTTTTCATCGAAATCCATTGCTGCATGTGGACATGGTTTACTACACACTGTCTTGGCAGATGGTGAGATAAACCTAAATTACGAGAGCGTGTTGACTATTATGACCTTAATTGATCTGTGTTTAGCATTTAACTATTTTTTCCAATACTGCGCTAAATTTTGGTTATCCTGCAGGAGTTTGCCTATGAGAACGACACCTGTTACTTTGCACACTGCTACCCGTACACCTTCACCGATCTCAGGGAGCACATTAACCACCTGCTGTCCGATCCGGAGAGGCGGCGTTGCACCAAACGAGAGGTCATGTGTGAGAGCCGAGCCGGCAATAGCTGTTTTCTCCTGACTGTCACAAACTTTACCGGTGAGCCTCTTTCTCCACTCATCCAACTTTTCTCTCAAGAGATACAACAGCAAATGGTATATGTGGAGCATCTTGAACCGTTTTGAGGGGGGACTTGCCTTTTCAGCATTTTAACATATGAGTGTCATTCTGGAATGGATAAAAATCAGGATTACTCTAGTTGTTGAAGTTTCATTTTTTTTTTGCATACATTTGTATTGAAAATTGCTATAATGTTAACTGCATTAAAAACATATCAGTAGCTTACAAGGTATTGAAAAGATACCCTCTAAAAACAACCCTCTGACTAAATATTTTGGAACTGACTAGTTTCTAGGAACTAAATTTAACAGAAGAGATATGCTAGCCTTTTAATTGCTGATCATCTTTGACTCTTGAAATATGAGGAAGTACCTTCAACTCATGAATGACAAGTCTTCTAATCAGCTTTCTTTCTTGTTTTTTTGTGATTCCAGAAAGGCAAACTGCTAACAAGAGGGGTGTGGTGGTGACAGCTCGTGTCCATCCAGGTGAGACCAATGCCAGCTGGGTGATGAAGGGCTTTCTGGACTACATTACCGGATCAGACCCTGTAGCCAAGGTAACCTTTTTGTGTGCTCCAGATCCCTTTGGAGGGGCAGACTGTGGCCTAGTAGTTAGGAGTTGTCATTCATGATCAGAGGGTCAGGGGTGGTCACAAGTTATGTCCTCTCCTTGGGCAAGCCACTTTATCCCATTAGCTTTTCTCCAAACAGGAGTATATATGGTAACGGTATTAGCAGGTGGGCAACCTGCGATAGACTGGCATCCCATTCAGGCAAGAATCAAAATATTCTCAGTCTGTTCTTGCCAAGGAAACCGGAGATAACCAATGGCCTGGTGAGCCACAGTGGCTTAAGACACGCCCCTGAAAGTGCAAGCGGTTGAGGTGCATTCTTTTTCATCAAGTGCCCCTTTCAGTGTTGTAGTCGAGACCATCACAGGACCCTGCACAAGACTAGGCACAAAAATAGGCACTAGTAACACGGTGAGCATTGACAAAGGAATGCTTTTGTTGCAGTTCATTCGAATAGCTTGTGGCTTGAATCAGACTGGAGGTCATGTGTTTGTGTTGTGTGCTCTCGTGAAAGTCTTAAGTGGTCTCGACTACAACAATGGCCCCTTTGTTTCAGAGTGTGTCCGAGCAAGGCTTGATCTTTCATGATCTTTCTTGATCTGCCTGCAGGACCTCAGGAAAGCCTTTGTCTTTAAAATCGTCCCAATGCTCAACCCGGATGGTGTCATCGTGGGCAACTATCGCTGCTCGCTCACTGGTCGCGACCTCAATCGGAACTTCCGCCATCCCAAGAAGGAGTCGTTCCCAACAGTTTGGCATACTAAGGAGATGCTAGAGGATTTCTCCAAAGAGACAGAGGTCTGAAAAAAATCCTCTTTTTCCCCCATGGTACCCATCTAGTACCTTTTATCTTTTTCATCCTTGGGAGAGTAGGCTATGCGTATTTCTTTACAGGCCCACACTTCACATATTTTCACCTACCTCTAGGCTATTCATGTAGTTTCAAACTTTTTTCCTACAAAATGGGTTTAATGGATATTTTGGGTGCCCTTATCAAAGTTGCTTTTATGTTCCATATTTCTGTCAAAGATTCCTGAAATTGTATTATTCTATTCATGACCTTCGTCATTTGCACCTTTATTTCAGTGGACGTTCTGCGTTCACATCCTTTGTTCACATTCTTGTCATTTGTCACCTTCAAGGTCATAGCAACAAACCCAGTTCCTTAACATACATGTATAGACGATAATGAAAACCGCTGTCATTTTGGTATATCTGATAACAGGTCCTTGTCTACTGTGATCTTCACGGTCACAGTCGCAAGCACAACGTCTTCATTTATGGCTGTGACAAGAATGGCAAAGAGATAGATGCTGCCTCTTTCCTCTACCAAAGGCTCTTCCCGTTCCTCATGGCACGTGAGGTGTGTTGTTTAACACTCTACTACTAAAAGCATTTGTGAGAAAACATCTTGCTTATGGACACAAGCGTTGTGGACCCTTAGTTGTACCTATATCCCTTTTTTGGGGGAAATTCAGTTGGCAGCTTATATATGTTTATATATAGTATAATATGCTTATGTTTGTCTTGTCATCTGTAGGCCCCTGACAAGTTCTCCTTCCACGGCTGCAAGTTCCATGTAAAGCGATGTAAGGAGGCAACAGGCCGTGTGGTGATGTGGAGAGAGCTCGGGATCAATAATTCTTTCACGATGGAGGCAACTTTCTGTGGTTCCAAGGATATCAGACGGTAAGAGCGCACTAGATATAAAAAAATTATAACAATAATGACAGTAATCCTTCAAATTTCTTGTTGGATTTGTTCACTAATTTGAACAAAATACATGTAATTAGAGGTATCTAAAATCACATCCTAGTTATCACCGCTTGGCTAAGGAGAATTTAAGTGTAACTTTCACACAAATGTTTTTCTCTGTTTTGTTTTTTAGGGAAGATACCCCTCGTCATTTCAACCTTTCCGACTTTGAGGATCTCGGCCGTCATTTCTGCGAAGCCCTTATGGTGTATCACAAGGCGCAAGAAAACAAAAGGTACACCAAACCAGTGCGTATATCATTCAAGCAACAATGGAAGCTAAGCAATCCGTGTGAAACCGATGATTAATGTTGCGACAAAGTGTCTTGCCTGAGAACATACTGCCATCCTTCAGGTTGAACTCAAACCTCCCAATTTGAGGAATTACCCACAAGATTTTGCATTCTCTGCCCTCAACCATGAGTCTTCATCTCCTCAGTGGAGTACAGATATGAAAACCATTCCTCTGCGTTCTCTAGTTTACCCCTGAACCCCACGACGTTTTCACTAGGAACTTTCCCGAATTCTTGCAGATCCAGCAGTGTATGACATGAACAATATTGAAGGACCAAGCATTACGCAAAGCAATGGTGACTGTACGCCAACTGCAGTGACAAGTTCTCCAAAGTCATTCATAATTGTGCCGAATCCTCTAAAATAACTCAAAACCATAAATTTGACTTTTAATGACTTGGTTTACTGAGCTTAAATAGAATTGAATAGCATCAACTAAACACCCGTCTTTTTCAACCGTACCACTTGACCTCTGCATCTCTTTCCCACCCCTCCTTACCAGCCTCCATTCCGAACTCATCCTGGAACTGACCAGAGAGATTACCCACCAAGTCCTGGAGAGCCGAGGCCTCCTGCCCCAGCAGCTGCTAGCCCCCTATGGCAAGGGAGCCCAAGACAACAAGAACAAAGGTACCAGTGAACTGTTCGTACTCCCAAACATCTAGACTTGCCACATAGTGCCCCATGTGGTAATGTTTGCACCATCCTTTGAAATGGTTCATTCCCTCTTTCATAAAAATGCAAATTAAGACAAAGTTTCAGTGTCTGAACTTCCAAGAAACCAGCAAGTACTGTTACAATATGTGCAGCTATTGGAACTTCAATTTCCAAGACTATAATGTAAAGTGCACTGGTGTTTTTTAGCTTTAATAAGGGCCAACCTGCACTCAGCAACATCATGCTTGTGAATGGTCTGGTGTCCTTATACCATTTTCAGCAATTGTTAGCTGTGCATTTGCACTGAGCGCAGACTTATTGAGAACAGGCATCATTATCTCTAGCCTGGAGATATCAAAGCCAAAGATGTATGAAGCAGGTTGTGCCAGAATCAGCTAGCCGCATCAAACAGTAAACATGTATGACTATGGGAAGTGGCTGCATTTGCTTGCTAATGACCTCCATAGGTCTGCATGTTATTTCTAGCCGTAAGCATAACTGTTAGACTTGGTCACATTTTAAAAAAATCATTTTTCCAGATTTTCAAAATTTGTCTTGCAAGTGGTTAGGTCCTTTGTTAAGCTGAGGTATGCACAATTTGGTATCATATCTTTCATATCAGATGGTACTACGAATTCTCAGGCCAAACTGAGCTCCTCTGAAATAACTGACAAAGTTGCATCACTGAACGATCCCAGTGCACCAAGCAAAGTGCCCCCCAGTGGCCATGACAAACCAGGTCAGCTGGTGCGCAGCCTGGAAGGGAGACTAGAGACAATGCGCATGATTGACGCTTTGAGCTCAGAGACTATACAGGGGTGCATCGGCATCCTGCAGGATCTGCACGCCATGAAGGACTTCACAGAGTCAGAGTAAGGAAAATGCAAGAGCTTGGAACTTTCCCTGGAAAAATCTTTGTTTTTTGTGAAAAGTGTCAGCATTCTAGTCAAGACTGTCACAAGACCTGTCGCAAATATTAGGGTGAATAACATAGGAATGCTTTTGTTGCAGTTCATTTGGATAGCTTGTGACTTGACGTCCGACTGATGGTCTTGTGTTGGTTTTGTAATGGTCTAGTGGAGTCTTTCGATGGTCTTAAGGGGGGTCTTAATTTTATGGGGTTCTACAGAGTTTGTATGCAAAGAAACTTTGGGTGTGACATGACGAGTTGCTTCTACACTTTAAACATGAAGATTTTAAGAGCCAACTAAGTCACAGGATTAATTTAGACTGATTTGGAATAGAAAGTTAAACAAATTATATGGTAGAGCATGCAGTATTAATGTTCATTTTGAAGTTATGTAAACTCATAGAGAGAGGACGTCACATCACTTTGGGTATGTGTTCCATGCTGGAACAAGAGATAGTGAGTGTTTTTATTTTTTTAACGTAGAAAAAATGTTTCCTTGGTAGGAACATACCATAAGCACTCACATACAAGTTCATCCACGCCATGCACAGGCCACACCCAGCACACATGACCAACTTCTCTTGTACTGGTACATGTACAGTCGTCACATGTGCACTGTGTGCCAAGTTCAAATGGTCCCCACCAGCCTCTATATTCTTTGCTGGTAATACATGTGGGTGACTTCATGCTAAAATTGTAAGGACAAATTCTTAAAAGTTATAGCAAAATTTCCATTTTTCATTGTGTTGTATGTATCAAAAAGTTAGAGGGCCCAACGTTTCAATCCTAACAGAATTTTTCTCAAGGCATCTTAGGTTCTGTTAGGACTGAAATGTCAGGTACTCCCACTTTTATTTAACACCTCTTGTCTCCACAGCTCAAGTGACAGTGACAGCGCCTCTGAGTCGGAGGCCCCTCCCGCCCCAGAGGCTGATGATGACAAGCAAGATGAGAAGAAGAAGAAAAAGAAGAAAGGGAAACATCGTTCCAAGAGCATGCC